ACTCGGAACGGCGGCGCTGCGTCCCCTAAACGGGGGACCCTTCCCAAACGGTGCCATTTCCCCATTCTGCTTGCACCAGGAATATGTCTGTGATGTCCTGGCCTTCTGCCTGGGGCTCAGCCATCCCCCCCCATCCCGCGGCGCTCAGACCGGGCAGGTTGCAGTGATGCTGGGCTGACTGCAATGGGTGCTGGTCACAGCCGCACCCCTCCCTGTCTGCCTCGCTTCCTGCTCCACCGAGGGCTGCATTCCCCAAGCACATCGCCCTGGGATAGCAGCTCCCCGCGGCTCAGCCCTGCCCGGGACACCCCATGCCTCCTTCTCTGGGCAGAGATGCTCCTGCATCCCATCATCTTTTACCCCCACTCCCCTCTCTCTGCTCACTTCATCCCCCCAGTCCTCCCCACCATGATACTACAGCAATTTCACGCATCCATCAGCAAACAGCTCCGGAACCATCCGGTTTAAAACAACCCGGCAATAAAAGCCGCTGATTGCGGCAGCCCCCGCACAGCCTCCTGACAGCAATTTGGCCCCCAGAAGGGGCTCGCAGAGGGGCAGGGCTGGGACTCCAGGGGTCCTCTCTGCTCCTGAGCGTTCTGACTCCCTCCTCGGGGTTACTGAGAGCATGAGAACGCTGGGAGGGCTCCGGCTCGGCTCTGCAGGGCACCTGAGACAGCAGGCAGGGTGTTATCCATCTGCAGGAAGGCGATGGGGAAAAACCTCATCCCCTCCTGCTGGGCCATTGCTGCTAGCGAAGTGCGTGGGGGGAGCCGAGCCCAGCGACCTCCGAGGCACACTGAGGGCTATAAAAGGAAGTCAGGTCTCCAGCACAGCGCCTCTTCCACAAAAGCAAACCGGAGGATGAGGGGGCTGCGAGCAGAGCTGAGAAATAGCTGCCAGGCAGCAGGAGAGGAGCCTGTAGAGCTGAGCCAAGTGCGAGGTGCACATATGCTCTCTGTTTCTGCACAGCTACGTCTTCATGGAACCTGCCCGAAATTGTGTCGTCTATTTTGAACGGCACAGAGAAACACTTTGATCTGTCTCCACCAGCCCTGGCCACGGCTCAGGCACCAGCAAGTGGTTGGCATACAGGTGGCCGATCCCAGAACCCATGCCATGGATGGAGAGACAGGAGTGGAGCTGCTGGGCTGACAGTTCCCTTGGGCTGACCATGGCGAGGGACATGGCTGGTCCTGGGAACACCTCTGGAGCAGTGCACTGGGTGTCCAAGCTGACCAGCAATCTTCATGCCAGATACCAGCCCTGCTTTGGGATTGCCAGGCCATTGGGAGCTCCTGGACACCACAATTCCACATCACCCTGAGGCTGGGCCTGCCCCTTGCATGGTGCAAAGCAGCACAGCCTGACCCTCACCGCCCTGCACTGTCACCTTGACCCCTGCCTCAGTTGCAGCTCCCTCACACCCCATCCAAGGGCTCCACACTCCTCACCAGCTCGAGAGCAGCAAAAGAGAGCAGATGGCACCAGATCTCTCCACGCACCCCATCCCACAGCCCCTACTCAGTACACGACCCCCACACTTGGCTCCGATGCTTTTGCCTCCCTCATCCCAGCACTCCTCCCCGGAGCTGCTTGTCTTCCCGGGATGGGAACAGCTTCTGTCTAGGCACGCAAAGCAACTGCTCCAGGAAGTACTAGGCAGGGGACAAGGACAGAAGGGGCCAGGAAACGCAGAGGGCCTGGTGCCAGTGCTGGTGATGGGGCTGAACAGAGGGGTACTGGCTGTTCAACTGGGTCTGCCCAGCTCGAGGAGGCAGCAGCACCCAAAACGTGTGCCAAGACCCCAGAGCACGGTGCAGTTTCACACATGGCACCATCTGTGAGCAAGTCCAAGCACCTTCCTCTCTGCTCCATCCACCCAGCTCATGGCCAGGCCAGGCTGGTGATGGAGGAGAGGAGCCCAGTGCTGCCAGGGGTCTCCCTTGAGAGTTGTCAGGCATTTCTGCCACCCTTGGCAGATCAGGGTGAGAGGTCACAGTGCTTGTTTGCTCCCAGCATGAGCAGGCACAGACCAGGCACTGCTCCCACCCGGGTCTCAACAGCTTTGCCCTGAGGGCATACAGCCTCCTGACCCTTCTGCTCAGCTCTATACATCTCACTTCCCAGCAAAAGCTGCTGGTGTGGGTGATTTCTAGCAAACCCTAACAACTGGCAGGCTTTAACTGTCCTTTCTCACCCACTGGGAGCTTCCCAGTTTCCCCACCCAGGTCCTTGTCCTGCCACAACATGGGAGAAACTGCTCTGGTGGCAAGAAAGGGCTGGGTGGCTGGAGTGAGCAGGTGGGGTCTGCAGCCTGGACCCCCCACAGCCTTGCCCCTCCCTCATCAATCCAACCGCCTCTCTTCCCACCTCGGACAGGAGTGTCCCAGCTCCTGCCTCACCCAGGGCAGCTCTCGTTACTCTCAACTCAGGCAGGTTAGGGGTGACCATCCCAATTCCCACACTTCACCCACACCATCACCCCAGTTCCACCAGCACTGCAGTGAGCCTCACAGCAAATCCTTCCCAGGACAGGGAATACAGTGGTAGAGAATCCCAGTTCCCTTCCCCTCAGCACTTCTGGGGACACATCAGGTTCTCTAAGCCCCCCAAAAAGGCTGAGGCAGGACATGCCATGGAAGGCAGGCAAGGAAAGGAGCAACTCAGCCAGAACTCCTCTCCTCACTCCACAGAGATGTCCTGGCCTACAATGCTGACATCCCGCAGCACTGTGGATTCTGGGGGTCAGGGCTTGGCTCAACCACTTCCTGCAGTGAAGTGATCATAGCACAGCCCTGAGAGCTGGAACAGGCACCATTTCACTCAGAGCCCATTTCAGACTGGCTTGGCCTCCGAATCAGAGCAGTTCACAGCTCACCTGTCACACAGAGCACAGCTGGGGCCAAGCCAGGACAGTGAGCTGAAGCCAGGAAGGTGAAGGGAGCAGGAAAATGGAGCAGTGCAGCACAGCCCCAGGGCATTCACAACTCACAGGTGTCCTGAAAGTTCTTTATTGTCCTCTGAGCTGGGTGACAGCTCAGCCATGTCCAGAGCAGGAAAACCACCTCCTGCGCCTGCCCTGGGAGGCAGCACCAGCTACTGCAGCGACGCCACTGAGTGTCACTCTCAGCCTCTTCTGTTGGCCCCAGCAACATCCAGTTCTCTTCAGTTCCTCTGTGTCTCTCCAGCACTGCCATGCTCATCCACTGCAAAAATCCTGCCTGTTCCAAGCAGCTCTGCAGCAGCTCTGGAGTCTTGGCACCAGCACAGCAAACACGACTGGCACACAGGGACAGGCTCAGCCAAACGTGCACCAAGGGGTCTCGTTTGTGTCACAGTCCAGCAAGATATTAAGGACGGTGCAAGGGGCTCCTGCCACACTCAGGTCTGTCCGTGACTCGATTCGGTACCTCACGTTGTTCAGACCTCCCTCTCGATCCACCTTAAACTGCTCCTGAGGAGGAGAAAGACTGTTCAGCCCACGCTGGAAGGGGGAAGCACACAATGCCTGGAGAGGGAGTGCAGAGCTGGCAGGGACACAAGCAAGGAGGGCTCAGAGCACGTGGTGACAACCCAAATCTCTCGTGGTTCCCTTTGACCAGAGGTCTCACCTGCTTCTGCGCAGCAATGCGCTTCTGGTCTCTCTTCCTCCAGGCTGGGTCATGTAGGTGTTGGAACGTCTCATACCCCGTCGTGATTCCAGAGGGACGGCGAACCTGGGAGAAGAGCAAAGTTTCTGGAAAACTACTGGAAAACTCCTGTGCCTGCTACTGGAATAGGCTGCCTTCTCCAGGGCCCTGACCTGGCCATCCACAGCCAGGAACCAGGTGGAGAGAGAAGAAAAAGGGCAATTTCAATGCAGGATGGCAGGGAGACCCCTCACCTGGAGACCAGCTCCTTTGATACGGCGATAAAACTCGTCGTCCTCCCGTCCCCAGCCCCAGAAGCGGTTGGACATGCCGTTGCACTGGAATAAGAGCAGCACCCTACCAGCCAAGGTCTTGCACAGCTCCATGGCCACAGAGGAGCAGACACCAGCACCACAAGCCCTGAGCATCAGCACAGCCTGTCCTCTCCTGCCCCCCACCAGCTCAGCCCACAGGCTGTCCCCAAACCACTGTGACTCCTCTCCCTTCTTCCCAAGCATGTGGCACAAAACTGCTCACCACAATGTCATAGCCCCTGCCCCAATCCACCCAGGACACCCCACTCACCAGCTCATAGTGCTGCTTGGTGAGCAGCAGGATGCCACCCACATAGGTCTTGTAGTGGTAGAGCGGGTGCAGCTCTGGGGATGCCACGTGGAAGGGCCCAGCCTCCGGGAAGCTGTAGTCCAGGTGCTCGTTGAGGGGCAGGAGATCCACGTCATGCATGGCAATGTAGTCGGTGTCGTTGCCGCTCTCCAGGAAGCCCACATTGATCAGGGACGCCCTGTTAAACCTGCCAGGGGACTGGGGACTCTCAGTGCCAGGCACAGCAGGCACTGTCCCTCCACTACACCCGGTGCTTCATATCCAACTGATCCCCAAACAGGGACACACACAAACACAGCATTCCCTGTCCTGAAACTGCAACTCTGCTTCTCCCTGCACAGCAAGCAGGGAGTAAATGACAGCATTTCCAAACACCTCAAGGTCTTTCTCTGAATTTCAGAGTCCCCAGATGTTTGCTGCTGCAGACTTGTGACACTGAGCAGAAAGCCCAAATACCTGGGGGTAGAGGATTCTGTGATACTTGCTAAGGAAGAGGAAAGCAAATTTGCACTTTATCACTCTTGTTCTGCCTTAGACACCTTGCTGACCTGGATCTATGATTCTCCACCACACCCTCCCAACACTCACAGAATGGACAAAGGTTCGGGAAGGGCTCCCTCGGCAAAGGGAGACACTACCTGAAATGATCCACCTGGTTGAGGATGAAGATGTGGTGGCGGATCCTCTTCTTGCTGAGGAAGCCATGCATGTAGGGCACGAAGGCCAGCAGCTCCTCGAAGCGCTCACGGAAGGGCACGAGCAGTGCCAGGCGGTGCGGACCCCACGACGGCTCATCCTCGGCAGGCTGCAGCGGGGCTGGGGGCGGGCAGGGCTGGCGGG